TCACTATTCCAAACTCAAAAAAGCGATGTTCTGTAAAAAACTGTATTAAAAAATAATTTTATTATTTGAAAATATTCAATTGTTTAAATAAATTATTATTGTTTGCGGATCAAATTTGTTTTTAAGCTATGGATTTTGGATTTGAGTAGTTTAACATGGTAATCATTTATAGGATTCAACTTCTATTTCATAAGTACATAAATAATCTTTATATTCTTCTAATTGATATTTTAAAATGCATTTTATGTTTCTAATCTGACAAAAATTAATTATTTCTTTTAAAAAAATTTCTTAGACTTGGAAGTAGATATTAAAAGCAATATTAAAACTTCTCACTTAATATTTTAGTGTTTCAAGTGTTCCAAGCCGATTAAGCTAACCTTAGCCGGCTGATGGTTTGGTCAGCTGGCGAATACTGTTTATTACCAAATTTAAATTGTGCAACTGAACTTTTATGCAAGTACATACGTACATACATACAGTACGTACAGTACGTTGTAGAAGTCTTGGCTGCGTCTGAAAAGTTACTGGGTCGATATATACTCTACTCACTATTAATGTTGTTAGACAAAACCTAAGGGTTTTGTCACTGACAAAAGTCAAAACTAGGTTTTGTCTTTTGTCAAAAAATTTTTAAAATGACAAAATGACAAAAGATGACAAAACTGACAAAAGGTGACAAAACTGGTAAAAGGTAACAAAACTGACAAAAGGTAACAAAATAACATAAGATAACAAAAATCGGTGAAATAATGCCTTGTCTAAGAAAAGGATTGTCAAAAACATGTAATGTCAAATATATGTCTTATCGAAAAAATGTGCTGTGGATGCAATTGTATTCGGCATTACGGTGTCAGGGAAATGAAATAACTTTCGGGGAATCGTGTAGCCTAAAAGTTGGCATGTTACAATTCACAGCAAGAAATTAATTTTTTACAAATATTTCCGTTATTAGATGCTAATATCGTTAATTTGTTTCTATAGATAAAGTTATCATTGTATACTTCATTATAAATGCCATATTCCTTATAGGATTTACTTATGGGCTTATAATTTGTTGTTGTGCGGTATGTAATATGTGTAATATAATGTATGATGACATTACGGCCTTGATCATTATCTCTATGACCTAACTATGAAATTTATTTATTTTATAAGAAATCAGCATATCATTTAAGAATTTATTCTATTTTTTATAATATTTATGTGATTATTGAGATTCTAAATTTTATAGTCGCAATCATATTATTGATTGTATATAAAGACTTCTATGTGGACCATTGTATTAAGATCTCTAGCAACTATTCCGATTCTGACAACAATCCAGTGGATAGGTGTAATAAACAATATAAAACGAATATAATCGTATCTGCCATAATTTATGTCTTATATGCCATTCTTGTGGTATGTACAATGGTATTTGTATTTGATTAACTTGATAATAAATTGTAACCATTTGTTTACGTATTATAGATTCATTTTGCCTTGGTTATTGCTGCTTACGCTGCAAGACGTAAAGCTAAAGAAAATGATGCTTCTTTAGCAAATGAAGTTTCAGAAACGAATGTTTCTTCATCGCATGACACTTCACCACATATTGTTACAGAGAAAACCTGAAAAAAAATTGGATTGAAATTTTTTTGATATATAATGATATAAATAATTTTGTATTTTATAATGCTGCTTGCCTTGATTAAATAAATTATTTAATAACAGTCTTGTTATATTAAAAAAATTCGTTGACCACTGCTTACAGTATTCTCTAAAAATAATACTCTCTATCATTAAAAGGATCCGTATTACTTATTACTTCACTGACAGTCACTTCATAGGCTTTATAGACACTTATTTCATATACAATTAATTCACCGAAATGTTTATTTTTGCTGACAATCAATCCACAATAGAGATGCCTGATGCCTGCTGCAAAGTTGAAACTTTGCATCCGTCATATTTAG